TTTGTTAGGATTTTACTATTTAAAGTACTGTAGGCCCTTTGAGGCCGGCCGTTTTTGAATTGAATAAAATTTCTCGTGAGTTTTTCGCATTTTTTCTATAATCTTTCGTTACGTCAAAACTCTTAGCAAAAGTAACGAAACAATTGGTTATTTTATTCTCATCTACAAGTGTAAAGAAACAAGGTCACATTCTATCTCATCTAAAAGTGCTATAGCCCCTTGTTAAGTGAGGATTAAAATCAATTTTTTAGATATTTTAATAAAAAATAGGGATAATTACGGTACAAAACCTCTCACTAAGTAACAGACTTTGGTCAAACATTTTGTTTGTGCCACTCACGATATCAAATCTTTCAAAATGTCGTACTTGAAGTCCAAATTGATTATTCTGTTAGTTTAACCGTTAGTTAACCAAATAATTGATTTTGACAATAATTTTGACTGATTTTAAAAGGTTAAAATTATAATTTTACATTTTTTTATAATAAAATAATTAAAATCAAATAATTAAAATTAAAAACTGATTTACACCTTTTTCTCAATCCACCCCATCCCAAATCTGCAAACCCCAAATTTGGGAAATCTTCTAACCCCAAATCTTCAAGTTTCGGTATCGATGAAGAGATGTGAAGGAGAAGATTATAGACCCTTTTATCTGTTTTTGCAATCTGGAGACATACAACATTTTTAATAGTTTGCTTTACGCAAAATTTATATCAGATTTCATAAAAGTTGTTTTCGTGCTTGGATTTCGAACAATGTTCCCAATGCATTTTGCTAAACACGAGCCTAAAACCTTATCCCAAATTACAAGTCTAAGAAATTCTAATCATTATTTCTTAACTTGCATGTCAAAACAGAGGCAATTTTCAGGTAAAATTGCAAGAAAGCGGGATTTATCTAGCAAAAAATTCGTCAAATGGAAATAGGAAAGTAACCCAAAACTTTAAGGGACCATTCTTTTCATGCTTCAGTTTTCTGTTTTGAGTTTTGAATTCATTTTGTATTTTGAGTTTCTGTTTCGAAATTGCTGAAAATGCGTTCTTTTTTCATTTTGGAAAATTGATTCTGAAAACATAAAACTAGAAAACNGGAGAAAAATTGATTTTTGAATAGTGATATGATGGGAAATGTGTGGTTGAAAAAGAAGAAAAAAGTATTGATGTGATGGAAAATATTATTTTATTGAAGAATGTGTGGTTGAAAATGAGAAGTGATTTACTGTAGAAAAGGAGAATTGTTACCAAACAGGCTCTAAAAAATTCTAATCATTATTTCTTAACTTGCATGTCAAAACAGAGGCAATTTTCAGGTAAAATTGCAAGAAAGCGGGATTTATCTAGCAAAAAATTCGTCAAATGGAAATAGGAAAGCAACCCAAAACTTTAAGGGACCATTCTTTTCGTGCTTCAGTTTTCTATTTTGAGTTTTGAATTCATTTTGTATTTTGAGATTCTGTTTCGAAATTGCTGAAAATGCGTTCTTTTTTCATTTTGGAAAATTGATTCTGAAAACATAAAACTAGAAAACGCGTTTACTTTGAAATTTTGAGAATTTTTTTTTATAATATTTTATTCAAAAAATCTGATTATTCAATAAATTTTAATAGTTTAATGTTAATATAGTATTAATTAATAATGTTAATTTTG